ATGGTGCTGGAGAGATGACTCAGCGGTTAAGAACACTGGTTATTCTTGCAGAAGTCCTGAGTTTGAATCCCAGCACCCACATGACAGCTAACAACTGTCTATAACTCCAGTCCCAGGGGATCTGACAGCCTCTTCTCACCTCTGCAGGCATTGCATGACATGGGTGCACTTACCTACATGCAGGCAATACACACATACACATAAAATAAAAATAATAAATAAAAAAAAATTTTAAGTTAAAAAAAAAAAACCAAAAACACAAGTGGAAGCTGTTAGTGGTAGAACACAGAGAGCAGCCGCAGTAACCACAGTCACAACTCTAGCCATGGTGACATGACCTAGATGTGGGTCATACCAGCTCTATAGCTGTGGACGTATGAATTCCTATGGGCTGGAGGCAAGTCGGGGCAGGGAGAGTGCTGCAATGTGGAAACCACAGACTTGAGATGACACCAAGAGGATGGAGCCCAAAGTCCCACCCGGCTTGCTTAATCGCTGCTGAGAGCCTGTACATGGTTCCCTCTTCCCTAGCATCTGGCTGCTTCCTCATTTTTTAGCAAGAGAGAGCTGGTAGGTTTGAGGCCACTGGCTATATCTCAATCCCAGTACCTGATGCCAGGGGAGATTGTCCTGTGGTCTCAAGACATCCTCTCTTCCACCCTGCCTAGACCTCAGCTGGACACAGAATCCCTAGACACAGAGTTGAGGGCATACAGGGCTTTTATTGGCTCCAATCAGGCATGTGGGGTCAGTGTGGGGCTAGTAGCTGCTCCTACTATCTGCCTCATGTTTTCTCTCAAGAGTTTTCAGGAGCCTCAGGCTGTTGTAGCTGCATCCCTTCCTCCCTCACTCATGACCCCTGTTGGAGCTAGAGGAAGTAAGGATTTGGGTTGTAACCTCTCATCCTGGACCATGCAGGTTTCCCCATAGGAGAGAAAACAGGCCTGTATATATGAGCCGGCCCTGCTGGGGGAAGGGGCAATATGGTTAAGCAGCTTCAAGAGTCACAAATCTGCTGGCTGTGGTTGGGCATGCTGTGGCTCTGGTGGCTTGGGTGACTTGGCTGACCCTGGTGACTCTGGTGACTTGAATGACATGGATGACCCTGGTGGCTTGACTGGCCCGACTGACTTCGGTGGCTTGAATGACTTGGATGACCCTGGTGGCTCTGGTGACTTTGATGGCCCGGGTGGCTATGGTGACCTGAATGGCCCTGGTGGCTCTGGTGGCCATGGCGGCTGTGACCATAGACAGTGTGTGTTTGGTTGGTACCAGCTATGGTGGTTTCCCAGTGGGTGAAGAAATTTCCTTTCAGCTCTATCGCCACGTCCTCCAGAGCCTTTAGCTCCTCTGGGTTGATGTCCCTGGACTCCACATGGCCTGTGTGCTGGTAAGTTGTGGCACGCTGCAGCATGGAATTAGCCAGGTGCTGCCCCTTGGCATCAATATCCTTGGCACAAGTGGCCACAGCAGCCCAGGTGGCCTCCTCTATGGATGAGGATTTTCTTGACTCCCTTTGGGTCTCTTTGGTCACTGAGGACCCAGCCATCCTCTGCTTGGTGGCAAAGGAGTCTCGATGCAGAGTTGTTCCCCCCTCTCCGTGTGTAGAAGTAAGGGTCTCCATGTGGATGGCAGTGCTGGTCTCTCCATGCCCACTTTCAGGTGAAGGGGCATTGTTGCTAACGCAGGCATAGTGGCGGGTGGGCAATCTCTCTTCAGAGAGGCAGCTAAAATGAGATTTGATCCAACTCTCATTTGCTCCGTAGTATTCTGGAACCTTGTCTTGGAAACACTCTTGGGCTTTCTTCCTTCTCCTCTTCCTGTGAGCCCACAGGATGAGGCCTCCACCTCCTAGCAAGAGGACAGTCCCCAGCACCACCTTGCATGATGGTTGCTGGAGGACCTCCAAGAATGCCTCCAGGGCCCTAGACTTCACAGGGAGCTAAGTGCACGCTGGGAGTGGTGGAGCCCAGATGGTATGGTTCATGCTTGAAAGGGCCAGAGCCTTGAGGTGTCTGGCAGGCAGGCTCCTGCCTCACCCTCCCTAGGATGTCCTCTGACGCCTCACAATGAATCCCATTGTGAGGAAGGCAGCTGAGGGGTGGGGTGAGGAGAGGCCACCCCATCACTCAGACCTAGGCTGGGAGGCATTGTGTAAGGCTTGGGTCCTGTCTCCCATCCTGACAGCTGCTATCAAAGTCAGTGTTAGGGAAATTTCTCTGATTCTGAGACCCTTCTGCCTTCTGCTTATAACCCATTCTGCTACTCATTTCTTACTTTCCAGTCTTTGGTTTCCCCTCCTTCTCTAGTATTCCCCACAGACAGAAGATACTGGATCAGTTTAGTCATGGCAAACTGGCCTCTCCCTGCCCACCCCCTGGGCCCATTTCTACTCTCAGTTCAATATGTACTGTCTCCTTTTCATTCCTAGCCCCATTACAGAGTAGAATCCAAAAGGGAAAGGGCCCAGCAAGGAGCATATTATGAAATAATATGAGGTCACAATTGGGAGGGGACAAAACAGTGGGCTGAGAAGGCAGAGTAGATAGTACAGAAGACTTTACCAGGTCCTAGGTCCCAGGTCCCTTGTTGCATTCCAGGGTAATCTACATCATCTTGCCTTAGTGATAGCCTGCAGATCTAGAATTTGGTCCTGGTAAATGGGCATGATGAAGTTTGGAGCAGGTGAGCCAGCTAGTCAGGCTTACCACAGATGCCTGCACAGTCTGGAGTAATTCCCATGTATCTTGTGTGAGAAACAGGCCTGGGCTACTGTTTTCCCCCAAGGGATCTACCACACTTAGCAATACCCAGATGGTCTTGTAAAAGTTGTGTTATTTGAAATATTTTCTTTAACCAGGTAACAATTTTAATGTATACAAAAATGTTTTTTCTTTTACAAGAAACGATGGTCCACTCTACATAGGAAAAGAATAAGGTACAAACTAAACATTTTATGGGGAGCCTTATCTCTCCAGCCTTGCTAAAGTAGCTCAATGGTTGTCCACTAACCTCATTGGAAATAACAATTCAAAGTCCACCTTTGAGGCTATTTATAGGTATGAGTTAAGGGTCAAATGGCCCTTCTGAACAAGTCCTCCCTCCAGTCTTTGGTTACAACTTTTATTTTACTTTTTTTTTTTTTTTTAATTAAGGCTTAAGGGACTGGAGAGAAGGCTCATCAGTTAAGAGCACTGGCTACTCTAGCAGAAGACCTGGGTTTGAATTCTAGCACCCACTTGGCAGCTCACAACTGTCTGTAACTCCAATTCCAGGGGATCTGACACCCTCTTCTAATCTCTGAGGGCAGTGCATGATAAAAATAAATTAAAAAATAAAATTAAGGCAGCAGGGCGTAGTTTTAATCCCAGCACTTGGGAGGCAGAGGCAGGTAGATCTCTGTGAGTTCAAGGCCAGCCTGGTCTACATAGTGAGTTCTAGGCCAGCTGGGGCTACAGGAAGACCCTGTCTCAAAAAGACCAAAAAATAAAATTAAGGTTTAAAACTATAGAAATGTTCTCTGAAGGCCAAGTTTTTATTTATCATAAATGATAGGCACTTGCCTGCATTCTACACACAACAGGAAATCAGAGGAGCCAGAGGCCCCTGTGCTGGTGGTGCTCATACAGTTTCTGGTTTTCAGCCTTGGACTGACACAGCTGCTTCTGTATATGATACACAAGCTTTTTCTGAGTTTTTTTTTTTTTCTTTTCTTTCTTTCTTTTTTTGGTCTTTTTGACACAGGGTCTCCCTCTAGCCCCAGATGGCCTGGATGCATTATGTAGACCAGGCTGGCCTTTAAACTCATGGAGAGTTGCCTGCCTCTGCCTCCAGAGTGCTGGGATTAAAGGTGAGCACCACCATGCCCAGTCTGAGTTTATATTTTTTAAATTACTGAGACATTCTTTATCTGCAAATTAAAACCCACCTTCACTTTCCAAAACAGCTAATTGTTAGCTTGTTGTAGTTGAACACCAAAAGCAGTCACTGAAAATCTTTGTATTTCAATGGAATTATTTTATTTCAGAGGTTAATGGTTTCACATTTTCTTTTCATTATTTATTGTGGAGGGCTTTTGTTCTGTTTTGTTTTTGTTTTTTGAGACAGGGTCTCACTATGTAGCCCAAGCTGGCCCGGAACTCCCTGTGTAGACCAACCTGGCCTTGAACACAGAGATCTGCCTGTCTCTGCCTCCTGAGTGCTGGGATTAAAGGTGTTGTGCCACCACATCTGGCTATTGTGAGTTTTTAAAAAATATTTTAATTATTTTTATTTTTAGTTTATGTATGAGTGTACTGCCTGCTTGTGTGTAAGTGTACCCATGTTGTGCAGTGTCTGCAGAGGTCAGAAGAGGGTGTCAAGAGTCCCTGGAATTGGAGTTACAGCTAGTTGTGAGCCACTATGTGGGTGCTGGGAATTGAGCCCAAGTCCTCTACAAGCACTGTCGGTGTTCTTAACCTCTGAGCCATCTCTCCGGCTCCTATTGTAGGGTTTTTAAGTATGATCTTCAACAAAGTATTAATATGCCTAAAAATATTTTACATTTATTTATCTGGTGAGGGTCACATATACCACTGTGAACACAAAGAGGTCAGAGGACAATTTGCAGGAGTTGGTGATCTCCTTTTACCTTTATGTGGGTTCTGGGGATTGAATCAAGGTCATCAGACTTGGTGGCAAATGCCTTTACCTAATAAGCTGTTTCACCACCCTGATTTTAAAAGAATACTTTTTATTTAAATAAGCAGTACAAAATAGCAATGCTTTAAAAATAAAGATAAAAAGGAACTACAGAGCTTCAGATAGTGCATTCCAGAAGGACCTCCCTGTTTGCTGATGCACCAAGGGCAGGCCCATACCTCCTCTTTGGAGGGCTTTGTTGCCCACAGTGGCATTGTGACAGCTGCCTCCTTTGTCTGAGTGTTGGGTTGTATAGTCTATTCCAGAAGGCAAGAAAAACATATTTCTTTTTAAATTTTTTATTTTAATTTTATGTGTATGCATGTATTGCCTGCATGTAGGTAAGTGTGCCCATGTCATGCAATGCCCGAAGAGGACAGAAGAGACTATCAGATCCCCTGGAACTGGAGTTACAGACAGTTGTTGGCTGCCATGTGGGTGCTGGGATTCGAACCCAGGTCTTCTGCAAGAACAGTCAGTGTTCTTAACCGCTGAGCCATCTCTCCAGCCCCTATTTCATGTTTTGACTGCATCCAGGAACAGTGACAGGCTCCCCGACTCTGTGTTCTTTGTGCCAGCTCATGATTGACCATCTTGGGGGGATTGGGTTGAACCTTGTGGCCAAGAGCCTGAAGGCTCAGCTCCTACACTCAAGTGAGAAAACCAGTTTAGGGTACATGATTTTGTAGTTGCTGTACTGGCCAGACCAGAAGTCTTCTACCTCCAGACACTGGGCTCTTTATCCCACAGCCCCCAACTTCCTGGTGTGTAGTGAACAGACAGATGACAGCATAAGCCCATGAGTCAAATCCCCCTTGAAGCCTGTCCAGGGTACACTATGCTCACTATAGGAGTTAGGGAGGGGAAAGGGGGAGGGGCTCCAGAGAAGAGTCCATGGGTCTCTGTGGATTTCTGGACGGCCAAAAGACACTGGGATGCAAAAATCTATTATTCTGGCCCCTGAACTAGGAGTGTCCTTGACCCTGAAGCTGAAGCAGAGTTATTTTTTCGTTTTGTTTTGTTGTCAGAAGCTAAGCATTTTCATGCTTTGCTTCAAGAGTGTCAGACCTCAGCCCTACCTCCAGGCCTCCATGAGCAAGCCCCAGGAGATATGGCATCTTTGCTCAACGTAAGCATCCTTAGGCTACCTGGTCCCTAAAAAAGGATCATCTATCACCTGGGTACTAACCTATGAAAGGACTTAGTTGGGTCACTGGTCACTGTCACCAAAGCAGCTTTGCCACAGTATCACTTGTGCTGCTATTTTGAAATATTTCATTATTTTTATTTTATGTGTATTCATGTATTGCCTGCATGTAGGTAAGTGCATCCATGTCGTGAATGCCCACAGAGGACAGAAGAGGCTGCTGGATCCACTGGAACTGGAGTTACGGACAGTTGTTAGCTGCCATGTGGGTGCTGGGATTCGAATCTGGGTCTTCTGCAGGAACAGTCAGTGTCCTTAACCACTGACCCATCTCTCCAGCTCTATGCACTGCTATTTTAATAATCACAGGACCCAACACTTTCTAATGTGTAACACTTTAGAATTTACACTATGCTTTCAGTTGCATTCTTCCAGATTTTTTTTTTTTTTTTTTTTTTTTTTTTTTGAGACAGGGTCTTACTGTGTAGTCCTGGCTAGCCTGGAACTTGCTATGTAGACCAGATTGGCCTTGAACTCAGAGATCCACCTGCCTCTGCCTACCAAGTACTGGTATTATAAAGTGTATGCCACCACATCTGACGCTTCCAGATTATTCTTTTGGCTACTACATGCCCTGCCATGTGACCTGGCCAATACCCTCCATCAGCCTGGTGGGCAAGGATGTTGACATTCATTGTTTCATATGATCCCCACAGTAACTCTGGGAGCTAAGAAAGTACTTTAGCCCCCTCACAGCTGGGGCAACGAGAGCAGGTTTAGTCCAAGGTGCCAGAGCTGTGTGCCCTCCCTGGTCTCTGGTTCCCCACTTTCCCAGCAGGCAGACCCTCTTACCTCGGAAGGGGAAGGTGCTTAGTTTGTTCAGGTTCTCCTCCAGTTTCCCATAGTCTACCTCTGCTGTGGCCGTGAAGGGGGTGGTCACCGGGGGATAGATGCCCGCAATGTCCACCTTCTTCCCCTTGACGTTCCTGGACAAGCCCCTACTCAGCCCCTTCCTCACAGAGGCCCAGACTTGGGGGCCCAGCATCTCTGCGGGAGGCCCGAGGCCCAGCTGTCTGTGGCCAGAGGGAAGCTGTTTGGACTCCTCTCCCACTGTTAATGATCAACATTATTTAGTTAAAAATTTGCGTCCCTCCTCACTTGTGGGCACTGGGGCAGGCTTGCACTGGACGCCCCCAGGGTCAGGGGCAAGGCCTTAGAAGCTCCAGGGAAAGTCTTCTTCCCCGCTGGGGGTGCAGATAGAGAAATGCCACAACCCAGTATCCCTCTGAAGGAGACCTGGTTCCTGAGGTTTCAGCAATAAAAAGTGTTTGGCTGGACCTGGGCCTTCCTCCCACATTTCCCAGCCCCAAAGTCAGGAGCCCCCCGCAGTTTCTAGGCAGTTTTGAGCCTCACTGAGCTGATTGGCTGAGCTGGTCTGGCCCCACCCTGAGAACGAGCCACACATGGTTCAAGAAGCCGAGGCAAGAAACGCCTCCTCTGCCCTACCAGACTCCTGCCAAGGCGGACGTTTGTTAAGCCCTCTGCTGCCCTCACATGACTCCACAGGATAGTAGTTAGGGAACAACTCCTAATTCAGGAAACCAAAGGACTCCAACGTCCCCCTTTTTCCAAGCTCACTCTAACACCCAGTCTTCATTCTTACATATTTGCAACACAAATGGAAACAAACATCACAAATAGCAAAAACATTTATTGTGTTAGTTTGTGGGTGTTCCTGCCAGACTGGCTGCAGGCAGATCATACAGGGTACTGGTGCCTGGCTGTGACATTTACTGGGCTGGTACAGGCTGGGGGGTCTCACGCCCACTCCCAGGCCCCTCCAGTCCATTCTGATCTGACTCTGGCTCAGGATGTTCCAGGGCATGTCGGGTGTCAGCCTGCCACAGCTGGACCAGGTCTGTAGGGGTCTTTCCTGCCTGGGGAGATCAGAAGGAGACTTGCTCATGGTTCAGAAGCCCCACCAGAAGTTGCCTTTAGCTATACCAAGAGCTTGGACTAGAGGACATTTATCCTCAGAAAACTGGAGGACCACCAGGAGCCAACATGGTGTCTAGAATGTTCACAGCAACCAAGTGCTTCAGTTCCCTTCTAGATGGCCCTCCATGATTGACCTATCTGGGGCCTTTGGGAAGTCCTCTCACTGTCCCTCCTATTGTTTCTCTGCACTTGTGTTCTGTACCTTGTCACATGTAGAGAGAGCTGGGAAGGTGAGTGATTAGATTGACTGGTCAAGAACCAATGACACGTATAATAAGGTTGTGGCTGCCCCAGGGCCCCTGCAGATTATCCCCTATGCAAGGGCTCACCCAGTCACCGAGCCAGAAAAGGAATAAACTTACCAGGTTCTTGGACATCATGTCAGCCCCATGCAGGAGCAGTAGTTTGATGATTTTGTAGCGGTTGAGTCTCACAGCATCATGTAGGGCACTGTCCCCTTCCTAGAATCAGTGGAGTACATGGCATGGCCATTTGAGGGCAGTTTGTGGGGAGTAGGAGAGGTGATAGGAGATGGGCTAGAGGCTTTGCTCAGAAGCTGCAGACTTGGGGTCCCAGAAGCAAGGACCACTTGCCCATGGCAGCCAGCCAGTTGCCCTCACACCCATGGTGGGGCTGGGGTGGGGGGCAGCACTTACTCTGTCTTTGGCATTGATGTCCAAGCCCAGAGAGAGAAAGTGTTCTACAATCTCCACATGCCCCGTGCGGACTGCCACATGCAGGGGTGTGCTCAGGAGCTGCATGGGGAAGAAACAAGACTGCTGGCACATGGTCCTGGAACATGGTGGCCCTGGTATTGGAAACTGTCTTATCTCCTGCCTAAGCTCACTCCCAAGTCTGAGTGCCAAGGCCTTGAGACTTGGGACAGGAGGAGATGACACAATATCACAGTGGTCTAACCATATAGCTTAAGTGACACCACCTCTGGCAGCTTGTCATGGTTCCCCTCTTGCCTGGCTATGAGCTACTGCCCACTCCTCTACTTCTTTCTAAAAAAATTAGGGTCTCTAAGAAGGAGCTCAAGAGAGGTAGGACCATAGGAGAAGGGTATTAGTAAGGGAGAAAGGGGGGAAATGGGGGCACCTTAAGTGGGAAAACCATGAGGGAGGGGTGAGAAATGTGAGAGATAAACAATGCCCAGCTAGTTTTGAAAACCAGAGGGAACCATATTACTCCTACAACCTACTGACAAATTATACTTAGCAGATCAAGAAATATATGTCTAGGTAAGGTTTATCTGAGAACAACTGGTCTTTGCCCAAGATTTATCTACATGACACACAGTAATTAAAAATACCAGACTGGTGGAACTAACCTTCTTGGGTGTTTAACAGACATACTTTGAGGCCTATAATAATTTGGTCAGAGGGACATAAAGGACAGTTTTTGCTCCTAGCCCTCCTAGGTCAACTAGTTCCAGGGGACTATGAGCATCTCTCAAAATGTCCTATAATGGTGGTGGGTCACCTGTCCTCTTGATCAAGGAAGCCGAGGAGACCCCACCAGATGGACTTGAACCAGTGTCCAGTCTATAAAGAGGAGGGTCAACATAGAGGAATCATTTCCTCCATGCTTCCAAGCGAAGCCAACCATGGTCAAGCAGGACATTTGACTTATCTTCATATAGGCGGGACTGGTAAGAGAAAGGAGCCAGGGGCTCCTCCCGAGCCCATGTGACCCCTGAGGAACAGATCCTCAAACGATCTCAAAAATATATTGGTTTATCTGAACCAACTGTGTGGCCTTAAACACCCAAAAGGAAAGTATAACCAAAGACTAAAGGGGCCAATATAATTTCATAAGAGTCCATATGTATAGCTAAAGGCTACATAACAAGCAACAATGCTAGACAGGCGATACCTTCTTTTGAGTTATTGGCCAAGGTGGCCAAAGGGATTCCCAGATAGTAACCCAACATAGAATAGGGAAAATGAACAGCAGACTCCAATCTTATCCAAAGGAATATTGACAACTGATTACCGCTAGATGAGGAACAGTTGACCGTCCTAAAACAAAGACCTCTAGCTACGCTGACTGGATTCACCAGAAGGGCAAGTAGTGGGGAATGGCTGGGGGTGCCGACAACACAGCAGACAGTAGCAGGGATATCAGAGTATAAGGGCTCTC